AATGAAGATTGATATAAAATATAAAATATAGCTTAATGGTTTTGATTTACAAAGTCATTAATACAAAGTGTGTGTTGCTGTAATACTCATCATAGCTAGAATAATGAATACACCCCAGTCGTCCTGTTTCTCGAAATTATGTGACTTGCATTCCAAATTTGAGACGTTTTCCACCTAAAGTCTCTGAGAGTTATATTTCTTGAAAATAATACATTTGTTAGGAAATCTGCCATTGATGGGATCTGCATGGTAGCTCCTCTTTCATTCTCTCTCTCCTAACAGCACTTTAAATCTTGTTTTGCTAAAAGTACCACTACAGTAATGGCTCTTTAATCTGACTAAGTCAGCAAATTGTTTTGGGTTCAGCTGCGCTTCGAATCCCACAGACTGGTGCAAATACTGGGCAGAGCATGATTTTCATCACATCTTATTACATCTTCATCAAATGAATCGACAATTCTTACCTTAGCCCAGCTAGGCTGTAATAGAGTAGCTCTTTTGCCGTCCCCAATGGCTTTTCTGATAAAGAGAGAAAAGGCACTCAATTAGCACCCTGCCTGGGCTCCCCACATTTCTTTTCCGCACCCCAAAATGCATACGCAGTGTGAGCCCATAATGCGAGCATGTATCAGAGTCTTCTTACTGTACCTACTGCAAGAGAATTGTGACCATGTTGGTAAAATATCTGTCTTATTTTAATTGTCATATAAACGAAGGGATAATTTTTGTTTGTTTCCATTGTCTGAGAAAAAATTGAAATGCGATGTCTCTTCCGCGTAGAAACGCGGATGTATTTCATGCCAATCACAAGAAATTAAACACGTGGGGAAAAAAAATCAAAGTTCTGCTTACTGGTATTTGTCACCGCGAAAAAAGCAAAGGGCCCGGTTGCCATAAAGAATATGATTTTCAGGACTGAAAAAAAAACACAAAAAAACAAGTTTAACTGAAATGACATAAAAAAAGTAACTAAACACCCATTTCCTTCATTATCTGTGCTTTTATTCCAGTTGAACACCGTATCACAAAAGCCTGGCAAATTATTTCAAATCTCATTTTCAAGTATTCTGGATGGTACAAAAGTGCAAGAAAATATCTGATTGCACAATTATTTAACATAATAATAAGACTCCTTTTAATGGTTTAATTGTAGGTAAGCGCTTCCTTCTGCTCTTCCTTGAAAGTGAGTTTTAGTATGTCTCCAAAATACTAAGGCTTCAGAAGCATCACTGAGGTAGGCTTTAAAGCTGGGGTTCCCAATCCTGGTCCTAGAGATCTTAGAGAACCAAGAACCTGCTGGTTTTCATTCCTGCCCAGCTTAAATATCTAATCAAGGCTTTAATTGAACTAGTGTGTGACCTGAATGGAATATTTGCAATTGGGTTTATATTTTGCAGGACTTACAAAATGCAGTTAAAAGGTCACGTCCAACAAATTTAAGAGGTGAAAACAATCAAACAGTTCCTATGAATTCTGTCATTAAGTCAATTCATACTTCAGTTGTGCAACTGAGTGCTGGGCTGGGACAAGAACCAGCAGATGCGTGGGGCTCAAGGATGGGGAACCCCTGCTTTATAATGTACGAAGAGCTTTAAAGCCTGACAGCTTTAAAGGTTAAGAAGTTAACAGCTCCCGTTATTGGGCGACTTTGGATTTCCACACATAGACAACAGGCGCTGGAAACGAAACCATGGAGAAGCAGCCCCTTCCTCACGGCTCTTGTGGAAACACAACCAAGAATGGCTTACTGAAATCTGATGGCTTTGGTGTACCACTTTACGGCTGCATCGTATTTTCTCTTCTGGAACTGATCGTTTCCCTTCTTTTTCATTTCTTCGCTTTTCTGAGAAACGAGAGAACGGAAGCCGGGATATTCAAGAGGACATTCACATGGTCAGGAAATTCCAGGGCACATCTCCCCCGTGAGGACAAAAAAAAAAAGAGGAAGTAAAGAAATGCAACAAGAAAGTTATCATTTATGTAAAATGCTACGTAACACTTAGTAGAACAGTTCATCAGTCTTCTTATTCCATAGATACACTGAACCTTCTCTTTACTATAAAAAAAACATCCCCCAGCCCCACCCCATTAACATTGTGTATTAACTGGGTTATCAACAACTGGCGTAACCAGTAAGACAGTTTGAAATCGGCAAGCGGTTCCAAAACCCTGGGAAAAGAAGGCAGTGTTCAAGGGGCATGTCTGTGTTCTTATCAAACAGGTTCAACCATGAACACTAGGCCACCATTTTCCCATTTCTGCAATGGAGAATCTACAAAATTTAACCTCTGAATATGCTGCTCCCTCGTAAGTGTTCATTTTGACAGCCATATCAAAGTACATCATGGTAGCTTCTGCGACATAAAATTAACACACCAACTAATTTCTTTAACTTTTATTATTCTCAAATACCAAAAGCTTTGGGGTCACTGTTTGTCCTTTACGTGGCTTTAGCCTTGACAACTTAATAACTGGAAAAAAAGAGAATTCCTGACCACGGGACACGACAGGAGATAATCTCTTATTTTGCGACATTTTGCCCTACAAGCACAAGCTGCAATCTCGAGTCAAAAGGCAACGAGACGCCCAAGGTCGAGTCACCACAAGCTCCTTACCCGAATGCAGCAGGCACAGGCACTGTTTTTAAACTCCGAGATCACATCTGCCTTCTTAATTGCCATGGCTTC